CTCTGAGACCTGTCTCCATTAAATTTAATTAAAACTGGCTTAGTGGCCATAAAAGTTAAAAAAAAACCTCAAAGCAGTAAAAGTAAAAAAAGGAGGAGCTGATTGACCAACAGTTACTGGGGTATGTATGTGCTGCTCACAGAAGCCTTTTCTCCTTAGGAAACAGGACCAGTAATTTTTTGCCGTATTGTTTCTGAAGAGCTATGGGTAATAGTGTTTTGTATTTAACCCAAGAATGAATGCATTCAGAGAATTTAGTTGATGTTGCTTTGCATTTCAGATTATCATTTGAGAGCAAGGCAGCTGGTATAAGGCATTTAGCGGTGGTAGTGTCCTCTGTAAATTGATGTTATAGGCTGCTCAGGCTCCAGGCAGCAGAATTTGCATCTGATCCCTTCTGATGCCATACTGAAGACCAGAATTTCAAAATTCATTGTCAGAGCAGGTATATGAAGTCTTCTCTTGCTCACAGTGAAGCCTTGTCACATTCATTTCACAGAACATACTCCAGATAAAGAAAGGTTGACATAGTAGAAGGAAAATTTTCCAGTACACTTATCTTGAAGTAGAGCATCCGGTGTGTTGATTTTACAGAAGGGTGATGGAATATAACTAACCAGATTTGTATGGGAAGCAACAAGCAGAAGTTACTGCAATTTTTCATCTATCTAAATGATAATGGGCAATTAGTGTTATTTGCTCTTCTTAAACTGGATTTTTATAGTGTTTATTCCAAGAAAGGAAGAAAGAAAGAAACAAAAACCAAACAAAACTGTTGCTGTATTCTAAATCTCTGCTTAAATAAATAGTCATTTTTTTCAGTGACCAGCAAAGTTATTAAATTCAAGATAAGCCACAGATGCTTCAGAACTTAAAATTATGAAGAGAAGCATGCACACAGTCTGTGTACTTGTGCTAATGGATAAACGGAATACAGAAGGCATTAATTACTCTGCAAATGTTTTGCTAGTCTTGTGTTTCTGTGGTTAAAATTACCATGAAGTTCTTTCTCTGAGTTCTGAATACCTGACCATTTCATCAGTGGCAGCTGAGCCAGACACAGAAACATTTGTTTGACTGTCTTTACTGGAAGCAGTATGCAAGTTTGCATAGCAAGATGATGTTTGTTGCTTATGGAAATGTTTAGGTTTAGAAGCTACATAACTATCTGTCTCTGTCTTCAAAATGGCTTTTACAGCCCTGCCACCTAATAGCTAGCTTTGTACTATACACATTTCCAAGACACTCTTTGAATGCTATCTGACAAAAAACAAAGGTTAATTACCTTTGAAGAATGTCTCTGTGTTTGCTGTGTTTAAGCCAGAGTGCACAGGTAGGAATGTCATTATTTGCAGAAGGCCTGTAAGATCCTGTCAGGCTTTTGAAGAAGTCTTTTTGGTTGGTTTATACCAGCACACAATGTTCTGTTACATAAAATCTAGATAGGACTTGTAATGAGATTTATATAAAGATCCTGATTATCACGTGATTCCAGAAGGATGTGGGAGTGCAAATGAAGATCTACCAGAAGAGGATGAAGACCTAGCTGAGTAAAGGAAAGGTACATCAGTAACATTATTAGAGAGAGCAGGAAATCAAGTTTTCTGGAAAAAGAAACAAACTTATTAAACCTTAAGTGTAGTCAACAGGATATCTGTTATACCTGTGTATTTGTTAATGGATTCTACCTTCCCTTCATATGTTGTGTTCCTTAGCATATATAGGTGGCTAAACATTGATAAATGCTTTAATTTGAAGTGGAACTTTTGTTTCACTCCAGTACCTGACAATACACTACTAATAAAAGATTTTCAGCTTGTGAATGTTAAGTGTTTTCCTCTCAGATGTGTGTTTAAAATTCTTGGAAATGTATTTCTGAAGTGTTTCCTTTAAAAGCTTTGAGGAGTCTCAGCTGATAATTTTTTTTGCGAGGTACTCATGGCCATCCCTTGCCTTTCTGATCAGGTTAGAGGCCTTTGTGTTTCCTCTTTGGGAAGCTAAATGCAGCACGCTGCCTTGCAGCTGGGGAAGTAAGAATGGTCTCAGTTCATTCCAAGAGGCATGCTGGAGATACTAGACTTTTTTTGAAAAATAAAATTAGTTCTACATCTCTTCAGTACACTTGCTGAGGTTTTGATTACTGACTTTTGTAAGGTATTACAAGAGGGGAAATAAATACCTGATTGCTGCTTCTTAGTTGGCTAATAACCTTTTTTCAGTATTGCTCTTACTATATGGAGTGAAGTGTCTGCACTCAGAGCTGCTTGGTACGTGTTTTCCCCGCAGCAGGTTCACTGCTGTGCCAGCAATTCAGCTAAAGGCCAGTTTAGGTCACTTAAAATAGGCACCATCTTCTCCAGTCTTAGACGCATAAATGTAAACACCTTCTGGCTATGGGGAATGACTGTGGAATGAAAATGTTGAGAGAGCTGGAAAGGAAGGACACTGTTATAAAAAGGACTTGATTGTATGCTTCATCCTCAGACCTTTTTGCAGGCAATTCTTGCTTCTTACTTTCCATGTTTCTGACAAGGCAGTGGTCACACAACTGTGCCAGCACTTAAGAAATCGAAAATAAAAATGAATCCACTAAAATGTGAGTGGTCAAAAGGGTTGGTTGTGGTGTGGTTTTGTTTGTTAACAAAAATATAATAGGGGACTTTGTCAGGGGGAGTCAGATGAGCCGTTTGTGTGCACTATTGGGTAGAACAGCTCACCTGGTGCAGAGTGCAAATTTGATTCCACTGATAACAGGGGTTTAAGATGTGATCATAAATGTCATTTTCTGTCTCTCTGTATTTATCATATCCATTATTATAGCCTGTGCAGTTGGATTCTTTCCTTCAAATTCAGCTGTTTAGAATACAGACTCTATCTGGAAAATGTCTGTCTAGACTCTCCTTTTGGTTAAAGGGGAGAAATAGCTGCTTCTAGAGTGTGATCCATCTCATTCCGGTGTACACTGGGCCTAAACAAGCCAGATGAATTGAACTCAGAAGTTCCTATTTCTCTCCATTAACTTTAGAAAATGAGGAGAAGCAATTCATACAAGGTCATTTGTGTTGTGAAAGTCTGATGTTAAGGAGACCACGCTGATCCTGGATGTCTTCAATTACATAAGTTTAGTTCTGAAAGCATATAGTTTCTGTCACAAAACTGTGATTAGGCATTGTTGTGAAGGCGCAACCTGATATAAGAGGTAACTTTGAGAATCCCTTAAGAAAGCTGCATTGTCTGTCACCTGCATGGTTAAAAAAAAGCACACACACACACACACACACACATATAAAAATAGATATTCATTTCTACTTATTAAAACTGTAATTAAAAAAGAAATCATTGCCAGAATGTGGCTTTCCTATTCATAACTTGTTAGATACCTTTTCCATTACATATAAGAAATGCCATACTGTTAGCTGACACAGCACACAGACACCGATTTGAAAACAGTCCATTATTGCAAAATCTCTTAAGACAGTATCTTTCAGGTGACAGGTTTTGAAAGCACTGGAGTACAAAAATACATTTTTAACTAATGATTTAGATAAATGTAAATTCTTCTGGAAGAACTGTGGTTCAGAGAGGCTTTTCTATGTTACAGAGTGGAACTGTGAGGATGTGCACTGGCTAAAATTATACAGATATATCATGCTTTGATGTGTGTTCAGTTTTTCCCCTCTAAAAAGCTATTTTCTTCAAGTGAAAGTATTGTAGGGATATGAAAAGGTGTAGTTTGCTCTGAATTTATCCTTGGAGGGCCAGCAGATCATTGCTTTTTCTCAGAAATTAGATAGAAGGATCCAGATGGCAGATTTCAAGCCCATCAGGTGTTTAAAATATGCCCCTCAGCTAAAAAGAAGTATTATAGTTAAATCTGTCATGGCCTTTTTATTGCTCTGTGATACACTTGACAACTGCAGCTGTGAAAAAGAGAAGCTACAAGTAGCCCAGTCAGCCTGAAGTGGAGTAGGTCAGTGTTTGGTTTCTTTGGCCACCCCAGGGAGTTTGATAGATGTACAGACCTGGTTTATGGAATCATTAAATCCATCATGGTATAAGCTCCCATGGAGGCAGTGAATTTGTTCCCAGATACTATGCCGTAGAATTAGAGAAGCAATGTAAGTGAAACATGGAAGGCAGAAAAAAGGACACTCTCCCCATCATCAGGAAAGCAATAATCCCACATCTCTAAGAAGTCCTCAGTAATAATAGTAGTAATAATAAAGTGCATCTGGGCTGGTGCCTTGTACTGCATTTCTCAGCTGGCACTCTTTCAGAGCTGTCACATTAGGCTGAGTGCTGATAATTCATATACCAGAATCCTTTTATCTGAACAGAGCAACGTCTCCACTATATACTTTTGGCAAAGGAAATGTACTGCTTTTCAGTATCTTTACAAAGCAATACAGGCTTTTCCTTGCATCTTGACAAACTGCTGCTAATCATGAAGAAAGAGTAAACCTGTTTGTGCTCTTGTAGTTAACTATAAGTACTCGCACTCAAATCAGCTTTCAACACAGGGGTGATCGCTGCCTGATCCAGAGAAGAGGGTATGTTTGGCTTATTTATAGGCATGAATATGTAGATGTTTATACAGATGCTGATTTAGGGAAGCTGGTACAATTTTAGATTCTTCTCTGTTTCTTGCTTGTTTCTTCAGTTAAAAAAAAAACATACCAAAACCAGCCACAACCAAAAAAAAAAAGCCACAACTTTGTTTATTCAATAAACTGTAGGGAAAGGTAGCTATAGCTTGGTGAGCATTAGCAAGGAACTCACTTTGTAAAAGCAAAGAGCAAGATTTTTATCCAGAAGGTTGTAAGATCATAGTCCTGCATAAGCTGTTTTTGATAGCTCTCATGGATTGAGGACTGTTTCTGAGTGTAAATGCTCATGGCTAAAGTGTCATTAGTGCTGCCCCTTTCATGAGAATGTTACCCTGCAACAAGGTCATCCTGAGTTAACTATGCTTACATCTGAACTCTTCCTGTGATTTTTAGATTCCAGCGGGGCGACTACCACATCGATGTATGCATCAATGACTACCTGGATGTGTTCTGCCCTCACTATGAAGATTCAGTTCCGGAAGAGAAGACCGAACGCTATGTTCTGTACATGGTGAACTTTGATGGCTACAGCTCCTGCGATCACACCTCCAAAGGGTTCAAGAGGTGGGAATGTAATCGGCCGCATTCCCCAAATGGACCTTTGAAGTTCTCAGAAAAGTTCCAGCTCTTCACACCCTTCTCTCTAGGATTTGAGTTCAGGCCAGGCCGGGAATATTTCTATATCTGTGAGTATATAGAGATTTACCACTGTTGCACAGCAGATGCAAGAAACCTAGCTAATTTTTCATCTTTGCAGTGTGGAAATACAGAGGGCCAAATGCTATATAATGCAGATGTCTTACAGTGAATGCAGGCTTAACTATCCCCAGACATATTAGGTAGGAACCTAGCTAGTGAAACTGAGATTAAATCACAGCTTCTTTTCTCACATGAAATAGCATGTCAGTCTGTTCACTGAACCGTGGCTGACTTTTAAAGCAAAACACACTATTATGTTTATTACAGCATTCTGAGGTGGCAAAGGACGAGGAGGGGACAAGAAGAGTAGGATGGAAGCTGTCCACACATATGATGAAAATAATTAATCCTTTGCTCAGTTAAAATGTTATTGTCTCTGTAATAGTAATTACCCAAAGGCAGTGAGGTCTCTCTAGTTTCCAAGTGGTGTGGCTACTGATGCTAATACTCCAGTGATATTTAAAGTTTTAATTTATTAGGGTGCATGTTTCTAGCATAGAGCCAACTGGCTTTTTTTTATTTCCTTCCTTTCCACACCCCATTTTTCTTAAACAAGCTGTTTCTGCCAGGGTGGCTGATGTGGGAGCAGGTGACAAGCAGCAGAGTGTAAATGGGCTCAAGCTCCTTCACACCTGCTGCCCAAACCCTTCAGAGCTCTGCCCTCTCCTCCAAGGAGGCCTGCATCAGGCTGCTCCAGGCACCCAGAGTACATGCAGGATATCATCTGGGGATAAGGAAATAAAAACATCAGGAGGTTGAAAAGCAGTGGGTTAAGCTGATTCCCTGGCCCTACTGTGCACTTGATACTGCTTCAGCTGTTTTGTTTTTTCCTTCAACAAAAGATCTTATTTCATCAGTTTGTTGGTCTTTTTTTTTTTTTTTTTACCTGAATCTTTGACTCCTAACAAGTTTTGACAGCTCCAGCAATATTTCTTTTGTCTGTTTTTAGTGTTAAACTAGAGAGTTGAAAGCTTTAGACAGACTGTAGATCTCAATAAATAGTGCCTTCCATGTGTGTATTTGGCCTTTCTACTGTGGAACAGTCATTCCGCCTCATTTCACCAGAGAAACTGAGCATGTATGATCCCTGTTTTTCAGCATAATTTCTTCAGCATTGAGATATTTCCCTTTCTTTATCTACAGGGAAATAGTGGGTAGTTTTTCATTAATTTATTTTTCTCCCAGCAAATAAAGACCTTTAATGAATGGTGGTTCAGCATCAAAAGAACACCACCTTGTTCTTGTGCTGAAGCGCAATAACAATAATAATACTAATAATCATAAATGTAACTTTTAAAAGCAAGCTGGAATGTTATTTAAATCTGTTTTTTCATATGGTCATGAGAAATCATGTAAAGATATCAGAGTTAAGCGGACAACATTCTAGGATAAATAAATCTATGCTGTGTAGGCTTGGTCCTACCGGAGCCACTCACAATATCTTCCCACTAACTTCAACAGTAGATTTTAGTGATTCAAAATTCTGATATCAGGCTTTTTTTTTTTTTTAGTTTGGTTTGGAGTTAGTTTGTTTTGTTTTTTTTTTTAATTTTGGGTTTGTTTTTTTTCAGTTCCTGAGAGTCATCAGTAAAACAAGAAGGAATACTTAAGCTAAGGAATGCAGTCTTTACCATCACGTGATCACAGTAAAATGTAGCACAGGGATGGATGTTGTCAGTATCCACAAGCAAAAGAACCCAGAATAACAAAACTAAAAAATGGTTTTCTAAATATAAAAAAAAAAAAAGAGGTGTTTAATAAAGCTGAAAACCAAACATGAAAGTGAAGGAAAAAGATATGAAAAATTTCAGCTTGGTCTCTCGAGCTAATAGTTTCATGTTAGATCATACAAAATCCGTTAACATCCATTGAACTCTCAAGCAAGGCAATAATACTGAAATACACCCACGTTGCTTATGCCTGATTTTCCTCATTTGTGGTTAAATTCAATATTTCACTAAAAATCATTATGCACCTTTTATAACATTCATTTAACTGAGTCATTTAACTGTCAAGGCCTCCCTTCAAGGTAATTGTTTCAAAGTGCTTTAAAATATGAAAAGCTTTATGATCTCGTACTGCATTTAGATGGATTTTTTTTTTTTAAATAAAAGGTATAATAGTAAAAAAGTAGCAGCAAAGAGATGCTCATTTACTAATTGCTTGTTTGTTTAATTCACTGAAATTAAATTTTTAGGCATGTTTCAGACACACAAAAATATTTTTCCTCCTATTTTGTATTTTTTTTTTTTTCTTCATCCTTCACTCTGCTGAAGACAGTAACAATATTGACACTGCAGCAGTTGCAGACAAGCACTGTGCACTAAGTTAACAATTATACACAAGCCCTCTTGGGGAGAATTGTCCATCCTAGAATGTTTTTCTCTTAGTTTGTGCTGAAGAAACAAGATGGTGAACTGTTATTCCTTGTTTCCTCATCAAGATTGTAAGCATGCTCTAGTTCAGGCTAAGGAGACCACCTTTATTACCTCCAGTGACTTCTTCATGTTAAAGAAATTCACACTTTCCAAGGGAAGGTTTTCTTTCCTCAGCCAATCTGAAACCTTTGCCTGCTCTGCAGGAGAGGGGGAAGGCCAACTAGGTACTATCAGTCTGGAATATTCTATTTAAGAGTTACAAAATATGCCATGTAGTCTAGACCTCTGGAAAGACAGAATATTAAGCGGATGGTTAGGTATTTAGCTTAATTATTGTTAGGTGCTTTTATTGAAGATCTTCACGGTTTACCTTTTAAGTGTGTGACTTGTCTCTCTTCCATTATTTTCAGAAAACACAATAATTTGAGAACAATTACTGTCTCTCTTTCTGAACTGGTGGTTTGGAAAATGACACTTTTATTTGTTATGCCATTGCCTGCACATATTGCTGAGGTGAACTTAGGTCTTTGCCTGCTTATTCTAGGAAAATACAAGAAAAAAACTCTATCTATATCAAATTTACATTGAAGAAGTGAATTCACAAGAAACCTCTATCTATATCAAATTTACATTGAAGAAGTGAATTCACCATTGCAGATATGATCAACAACTACTGACTGAGTTTACTTTTGAAAGAAGAAAATATTATTAAATATTTACAGAGAAATTAACTTTTATTTAGTTAGGGAGTGAACAGGGAGGGGCTGGGAAAAGAAAATAATTGATCATGACCTGAAATGTAAAGTTTTACTTGTTTCTTAGCAGGTGCTCACCTCAAGTTAGTGTATGTTCACCTGAATATAGTTAAAACAGTATTAATACTGAAACAGAAGGAAATGTAATGTAGCACCACCTCCCTCCCCCCCCCCCCCCCCCAACTTAGTGGTATAACATCGATTTTAATGTCCTTCAGAAGGGAACAGAAGTTTTGGTGTGTAGGTTTTGTGGGGCACTGTGCAAAGGGAGAGGAACACAAAGCAAGGAAGGGGAAAAAAAAATCCTAAAATGGACACTGGTTTATAATTATGCAATTCAAAATGAGAGTATAATTTTCATTATTTTAACTTAATTATCATTATCTTATTTTTATTAATGCGTTAAGTGTTGAATAAAATATTAGTAGCAACTTGACAGATATATAGCAGAGCTGTTGAAATAAAAAATTAAGACATAGCAAGTACTGAACTGTTAGAGGTTACTGCAGAATCCTGATCGCAGCTGCCAAGCCAAGCTCCTGTGTCAATTTAAGCTAACTACATTTTCTTTTCTTGAAAACAATGTATCACTGGTGTAGTGTCAGAAGTTGTACTAATATTAAGCTGTAGCCTATGCCTTTTTCTGCGTGATCAGTCCAGTTATTACATTAATGAATTAGGTATTTAACATGATTTATCCTTGAGAAATCCATACTATTTTCATCATCTTATCCTCCAAGATTTTATATGTATATTTAGTCGCTTGATCGCAGTGAATATTGTCATTTATATATATTCTTATACCCTTTTCCTAGAAAGACCAGATAGGTTTGCATTTCTTTGTAGTCCTCTTGCTGCTCTCCTGTTTTCTGCAAGACCTTGAAGTCTTTTGCTAGCAATTATCAGGTTTTAGCAGATAGCAGGCTTTACATATGGCCTACCTAAACATAATTACGTGGTTCTTTCATCACTGTTATTGAGAAAAGAGCTTCTTTCATCTTTTCAAAATCTTGTATTCTTACCTGTGTTTTATTTATGTACCTTTTTTGTTACCATTTCTTTCTGGTTTATCTCATGCATGTGTCTTCTTGATGTTATTTCAAAATGTTTATGCTGTTTCTTTGTATCACCTTTAATGATGTGTCACTATTGCTGTATCTTTGTTGTCACCATTTATTTGCATAAAGCTTCTGATTGTCATTCGAGGAAGTTTTGGTGTAACCATATTCCTCTTGAATACACCAGGATAGCATGCTTTTATGATTTGAATTCAATTATGGTTATAAATAATATTTTAAAATCATTCTTAAATTTGTGATTAAGAAACTGAGTTTGTAAAGCTCTGCTTAATAATATCCAGCTCTCCTGTACTCCTGTTCCCCACAGAATATATTCCCAGAGAGCCTGCTGTTATCTATTCCCTTGATTTCCTTTATGCTTGCTTTTGTACACCAACATCCTTGTTTCTATGCATTAATTACTTCTTTTCCTGAAATTTCTGACTTTTATCTCCTTATGGCTTTTGTTCAAATGACATTCCACCCTGATGGTCAGAGCTGCTGCTTCTATAAGAGAGCTTGTGATTTTCATAATTTTGAATATAAAATTGTCTCTATTCAGTTAGTTTGTTCCATCTCTGTGACTGGAAGTTGTCCTCACCATGTTTCAAACACTGTGAAACTGTTTGAATCCTGCTGTACAGTCTGAATCCTCTAAGAGCTATGAGGTAGTCAAACCACCTCTCTGCAGCCACCTCTGATGGCTTCTCTGATTCAAAAGATGTTAAGGAAAATGCAGTAGTACAAAAAAAATGTCTATAATACCTGCACTTCCTTTTATTCTTTCCTTTGCCTA